ACTACCACTTCCATCTCTGTCTCTTTGCTGACAGTAGCAGTTCTTCCTATACTTTTTTTTTTTTTTGGTACCAGGGATTGAACTCGGGACCTTGCACTTTCCAGACAGGTGCTGGAACCACTGAGCTAAATCCCCGGCCCTACAGTAGCAGTTCTTAGTAGCTGGTGTGGATGATCCCTACAGAACAGAGCTTGCATCATCATAACAAAGATAATAAGGCTACACTATTGAATTCTCTGAAGTTGTGAAATTAGAAATAGCTTCTGTTTATACTATACATATTTATGGACTTGTTAGCGTCTTCTGCACATAAAATGTGAAATGAAAAATTGAATAAATGGGAAATTATCTTAATTATAAAATATTGTTTAAAAATTAGGTACACTGACATACTTTAAAATCTTAAGTTGGAAGTGCCATTGGGTTACATATAAAATAATAGCAATATAGATATTTTTTAAACTTTAAAACTTTCCTGTATTCAAACTTAAATACTTTTCTATAATAAAAGTTCCATGCTTTATTGGAAGACTGTTTCCTTGTTGTAATGAATTTGGGTTTAGGACCCTGAAGAAAGCAAAATGTTTTAAAATTATGAGTACTTTATATTTTTTAGGAAGCCAAGTTGTCTGAAACAGTTTCGGCTTCCAATGCCTGGAAAAGCTATTATGAGAAAATAGTAATAGAAAAAACTGAGTTGGAAGTTCAGATCGAAACAATGAAAAAGTAAGAAAACAATTTAGATTTTTGTTTAGTAAGAAGTATTTATAGTTCTTTCCTCCTGGAGTGGTTGGTATTTTGGTTCTTCTGGATTTCATATGGTAAAGGTACTGGTACCTACATAATTTATTTTTGCCATTTATAATTCTATAAACTTTTGTTACTATATTATAAAAATAATAAAAAATAATTACTCCTTAAAACTGCATTGGTGTTCCCATTTTAAAAGTTGAGCTTGTAAAACCTAGTATTTTACAATCGAATTATGTCATTTATACTTAAAATATGTCATTTATTATGTCATTGAATTATTGAATTATGTCATTTATTTAGTTAAAATAAATGTTAATACTAACTTTGTCTTAAATTGAAGTGGCATTTCTCAAACAAGAATGTGTAATACTACATAAGAAAGTTTATAATCTATCAAATAAATGCTTTGAAAGTCCTAAAAATATTTCTTAAAATGAGTTAAATGCATAACAAAGTCTGAGTAAAAGTACATCTTTTATGAAATTTATTACTAATAATTTAACAATTATAAACCCTTAATATTTTTATATTGTATTGTTTTTATATTCTGTTCAGTTTTGTCATTGAAAATGACATATAATTTGCTTCTAAAGATTAGTTCTCATTGCTTGATTGTTTTTTTCTTTAAACTTGTCCCCCAAATTGTGTGTAAATTATGAGCATGGATACAAATGAGAGAGACAGATGTGCATATCTGGGGATGATGGTTTTGGCAATTTACTGAATAGCAGAGAGATTGTTGTGTAATTTTTATCAGCATCATCAGTGGATAATTGTTATCAAGGCCACTCTGTTGGTAATCCTATAGATTAGTTCTCCTGCTTCCTTTTCTCTATTAAAATTTTTGTGAGCTCCCTATGTGAAACAATGCACCCAACTGAAATGATTTTACAAATGCTCTTAAAATGTGTAATTTGAATGATAATTTCAGTACCTTTTAAAAAAATGTGTATTTTATAAAGGCAAATTGATAACCTTTTGGAAGATCTGAAGAAAGTGGAAGCCCATGGAAAAAATTCATGTGAAGAAATTCTTAGAGAACTTCACTCAATTGAATATGAAAATGAAACTCTGAATCTTGAGAATACAAAACTAAAGGTACTGTGTGTTTGAGTGTATGTGGTTATGTATTGTGTAATGACAGTTTAATGTAGTTAGCAAAAGTAGTTTAAAGAAACAGTGGAAATAATAGGTTCGGTGCATGTTCTCCCTTTTTTTTTTTTTTTCGGTACCAGGGCTAGAACTCAGGACCTTGTGCTTGCGAAGCACGCGTGGTACCACTGAGCTACATCCCCAGCCCTGGTTAGTGTTCTTGTATCACATTGTCCTTTTTGTTTCTCAGGATATTATAGTTTCATTAGAATAGGTAATTTCTAAATCTACCTAAGTTATCTATATATGCCTATGTCCATGCACATATATATATTATATATACATATAAAATAATATGTCTATATGTAAATGTTTATAGTTGTATAGACAGATACATGTTTCAATTGCATTTACCAGCACAAAGTAAGCCTTGTGAAGTTGAATAACTATCTCCTTGTGTTAACTTTAAAAAATTTATTTACTCTTTAATTTTAGCATTTAAGTAAATTCTCCAAAATTACATTAACTCTAATGCGTAAGACTATTTCTAGGTGTCATGGTTACGATAGGATATAACTCCAGGCCTGGTCTGTTTGAAACCAGAAAGTATGTTCTTGGCTGCTTTATAACCAGAAAGAATTTTCCAACTGAGTCAAATCCAAGGGGTGATTGGTTTGTATGTGTACCACAGAAGAAACAGGAAAGCTTTTATACTTTGTGAGAAAAAAAGATATTTCTCAGTCAGCTAGAAATGCACATAACCAGACGAGACTGACTGAAGATAGCACCATTCTGTTCTGTAGTGTTACTTTTGGAGGAGAGAAAATGGAAGACAGAATAATCATTTTTAACAATTCAATAAGGTTTATGTGCACAGGATAAGTAATACATTGGTATATCTGTAACAGATTATATTTTAGAAAAACTTGTAAAATAAACATCTAACTTTATTTTTCCTTGTTTATAATGGTTTAATTTATCATTTCCTTAGAATTGTGTTTAATTTGGATGGTACTTGAGAGAAAAGATCTGTAATGATAAAAAGAAAAGTGCCAAGACCTTCATATACTTTTAAAGAGTTAAGTGGTTTTGGTTTATTTGTTTGGGATGTTTTTGCATTAGATATATATTTCTTTTTATTGGAAAAAATATAATTATCAACTGTTTTGAATTATGTAGACATTACATAAAAATTGGGCTAGACTTGTTATGAATTTGTTTACAGGGAAAATATAGAAGGTTTAAAGACATAATGGTTATTAAAAACAGATTACTTCTGAGATGGAAATTGCAGATACACCTAAATACCTTTGACCTTTCTAGACCTTTCTTTCTCTGTATTTCTAAAACATCACGGTCCAGATAATTTTATCCGTTGTAGATTTTGACATATATTTGCAGCAGTACCTGTTTTCTGGGGACTGATATGTTTTTGTAGAAGATACACAGTGTTACACAGTACAGTATATAATAATTGAAAGTTGCTTACTATATATGACAGAAAGTAAGCAGATGGCCCTCGATGAAGAGAGAGAGAGAGAGCGAGAGAGCACATGCACGAGAGAGCCATTCCTTCTGTTGGTTTACAGAGTTGGTAACTTTTCCCACTTTGGTTTTCAGTTTCAGTGTTCTTTAGATCAGGGAGTGAGGCCAAGCTCATTAAAACTCAAGCCTACTTCATCCCATACAGACAGACTTGATTAGTTTTAAGTGGAGGACTTAAAATTGAGTCCTATTGCTGCTGATGAGCAAAGAATGAGTACAGGAGGGCTATGAGTGTGGCTCAGTGAGAGCCTAGCGCTTGCCTAGTGTGTGGGAGAACCTGGGTTCAATCCCAGCAATGAGCACAGAAAAAGGTAGAGGAAACAGAAATGGTGAGAAATGAGAGGTCCACGTGACAAGTAGTAGCAGGGTCCTACTTTTCTCACCTATCACTTATTTAGTATACTCTATTTTGGCTACTTCTTGTTGGGAAAGATTTTTTTTTTTTTGGGTACTGGCGATTGAACTCAGGTCCTTGTGCTTGTAAGGCAGGCGGCAGAACCACTGAGCTAAATCCCCAGCCCTGGGAAAGATTTTTTAAAAATCAAAGTCACAGCTAGCATTAAGTTACTTTTTTTGTTAAAGCAGTAACATTCAGAATTAACTTTTCTTCTTTCAGGAAATTCCGTAAGTGTATTCTCCTTCAAGTAATATGAATTTCTTGTGTTTTCTTTATAAGTGAAATACAATCATTCAGTGTAACAGTTCCTCCAGCTTCTGACTAGTATTATCATTTGAGGGAAGAATATATACTCATTGCAGTAAACTTGAAAACTACAGAAACCCTGAAGGAAAAGAAAAAAAGAATCCCACTTCCCTGGGGGATGACCACATTTTGTAACATTTCTGTATTTATTTCATAGTTGTTATTAAAATGTCTTACTTTGTTCACTTTAAAATGGAAAAAATATTACAGTATATGTTAGATAAACTCATCATAAGCATCCTTTATAATTACTCTGTAATATATAGTCCCTTTAGAAATATTAATTGATTTAATTATTCTCTTTTTGTTCCACATGCAGATTGGGCCGTTTTTTTAGAAACATTTACAAATCACACTTTGGTGGACTTTTTTGTACATAACATTTTATCTGTTGTATTTTCTTTACCTTAGATTCTTATACATATTTTGGAATTACAGGGTCAAAGAATGTGAACTTCTTTAAATTCTTCATGTTCTTTGTCCCATTTTTTTCTCAAAAAATATTAAATCAATCAGTATTTCTAACTCTTCTCAAGTTGCTCTTCTTAGATATACTGCTGATAGTACTATTTGTTGGCTTGCCTAAATCAATAATCTATCTTCAGTTTCTGGCTTTTGTTCAACTTTTGCAAGATTCTTTAGTTTTTATCTTAGAATTCTTCCTTCAAAATTTTTAATTTTCAAAAATTTTTTAATAAGGTCTGACTACATTGTCAAATCTGTCCTTGAATTTCTTGGCTCAAGTGAATCTTCTGCCTCAGCTCCCAGCAGCTGGGATACAAGGCACTGTGTGTCCCAATCAGTTTTTTAAAAAGTGTTTTCTGAGTGCTCCTATCATCAAATATCTGAGGATGCCCATTAGGATTGTTTTATCAGTTTTCTTTTTCAATTTCCCAATTTGTTCTTTCCTGGTTCACTTTGGGTTTTTTTTGGTTTTTTTAACTGAAAAAATCTAGGGAACTTACTTTTGCAAGTTGCTTGCTTTACCCAAATGTCTGGCGACAACATTTAAGAATTTACAAAAGAGATGAAAGAACTAGTGAGAAAATAGAAACTGAAAACTAATTTTCATATTAGATAGTCCTTATAGTTGTCACTTGACTTTCTTCAGCTGTTGAGGAACCAGAAATTTCCCTGGTGGCCTCTAAAAAGTGCCACAACCATAGGTATCTTTGCTCTAGTCACCAACACCATCCCTCTCTTCTAGTTCTCCCCTGACAGGTAATTCAGTTTCTTTAGAGAAGAACCTTCACTGTTTTTATTTCTTGAGCGGTAAACACCAGTTTACATCATTGCTCAGTGTGCACTGTGTACACGCAAAGATAAAGGCCAGTTCCAGGCCTCAAGTGCCACAGGGGCACTGGAAATAGTGTTGCTCAGCTCTTCTGGTCCTGGACTCTGAAGTAACCTTTTTACTCCAGTCTCAGCCTGCCCTCACCCCTGTGTCTGTCCAGATCTGTACATGCAGGAACTTCCTCCTTAGCTGAATCTGTTCTTGCTTCACTCATCAGTCATCAGTTTTCCAGAAGCATCCAAAATATTTCCTTCTTTGTTGGCCAGTGGTCTGTTCTCTTTAATAAGTGGACTTGGTAAGGAAGGGAGATAAGGAAATGTGGGATTGGTCCTCCAACAGAAGACTCTTTAATTCTATTTGCTGCAAGGACATAGGCTTTGATAGTGCACGTAACTAACTTCTTCCTCTTTTTATGCTCACTTTTCTCTGTATATGCTACATGGAGAACTTCACTGGACTTGCTTGTGTGCATAATTTGTCTCCTCCTACTGACTGTGTTTTCCTCTATCCTCCACATCCCAGGGTCAGGGAGCAGAGATTAAGTTTTATTGTCTGTTTATTTCTAGTGCCTAGTGCTGTGCCTGGAACATTTAATAAATGACCATAAGTAACAAAAAAGGCCACTATTTATCAGTCTTCCTTAGCATAGGAGGTGATTTGGTAAGTGCTTTACATTCTTTATTGTTGATTCTTATATCAGTCCTGTATTTTTCTCAGTTATAGATTAATATACTGAGGTTCAGAAAGATTAAATATCTTGTGCAAGTTCACACTATAATGTAGTGGAATAAACAAGAATCATATATTTAGATGAAGGAAGGAAAAAATACTGGACACAATCTTGTTTACATTTTATAATTACAAACTTGGTTTCCTTCACCTTTTAAATTATGTAAACTTTGCTAGGGTATATTGAAAACTTACAAAAAACAAAATACACTAACAGTCTGGGGAACTATTTTTTATATTTCTTCAAGTCTTATATCAGTTAAGATTTAGCTTCACTATGTGTACTAGAAAATCAATTTAAGTGGCTTAAAGAAGATAGAAGCATATGTTTATTACATAAAAGAAGTACAGCCTTTGCAGTTTAGAGTTGATGTATCAGCTGAGAACAGCTTATTTTTAGCTCTCTGTGCTTTCATCCTTAGATTATGACCCTTATCATAATCCAAAAGACAATAAATGGAAAGGAAAAAAAGGAAACATTCATTCATATTCTCATTCTCTCTCTCCCTCTCTCCCTCTCCTTCTCCCTCCCTCTCCTTGTCCCTCCCTCTTTCTCTCCCTCTCTTTCTCGCCTTAAAGGGACTTCCTGAAGTCTCTTTAACTTGAATGTTTTACTTATTTAGACCCATGACTCCGTCTAGTTGCAGGAAAGACTTCAAGGTTATCCTAAGCTCTAGCCAAATATGAATACTGATTATTTCCTGGAGTTGTTCACTGTTTTCCTGTTTCTATCCCTATAGTTTCCCAGCTTTTACACTTTAGAATGCTATCTTTCTCAGTGTCTCTATCCTTCCTATCCTGTAAAGTGGAGTTCAAATGCTGCTTCCTCCCTGGGCCTTTTCAAGGAGGATGAAGCACTCCTTATAAGCCAACAACTTTGAGGGCACACAGTGTCCAGCAACAGTGTGACATAGCTTAGTGCTCAATCAGTATTGTTGAATGAATGCGTAAATTGACTTGTCTGAAAAGAGGGAGCAATTTTATTTATGTTTATTTTTGTAATTTCCTTTATATCTTTCCAAGAGAAAAGACTAGAAGTGTATTTTATTAATTATAAATCTAGGTTTTAATCACATGATAATGGAATTATTTAAAATTAATAGTGCTCAAAGGTTATTGAGTTGAAGTTTGTTTCTTAGCATATATATATAATCCAGAAACATATATTTTAATATATTATTCTCTGGAGTTTAGTTTAAAGAAAATAATTATGTTAGACATATGTTATTTATAGTGGAAAATTTCCTAGATGTCTATATTTTGTTACTTTTAATTACTTTAGAATAGTTTTAGATTTCAAAATTTTAAATGAAAAATAGTTTACTGATAATTTCTTCTAAGGCCTTCCATTAAAAATATCAAAAGTTTATTTGGAGGCTTATAAAATTTTATTTGGAAACTTAGAAAAATAGAATTGCACAAGAGGAAAGATTTTTGAAACAATCTCACAAGTGAAAGATAAATAAAGTTAATATTTCAATGTATGTAATTTCTGATATTATTAATATGCAACTTCCAATAATTACTTACAGTTTGTTTTTGCTACTATAAATAAAAATTTAGGTAGTTTCTTTGAGTCTTTTTTGCACACTTCTTTTCTTAGAATAAAGTTTGAGAAATGAAATAGTTTAAAAGTGAAATGAATGTTTAAGTTTTAAAAATTTATAATGGTAAGAAACACACTTCCATTAATCTCCCCCCTCAAAATACTCTCCCTTGCTTCAAACACACTTATCCCATCGTTCTTATACTTTCTGAAGCAGTTCTGGAAGTCATTTCTCATGTCTTCAGTTGCACTGCTATGGTTGCTTTAATATGTTCTGAATCCATTCAAAACATTTTCCTTCATGGTCATTTTGCCCGCAGGGAAGAGCCAAAAGTCTCATAGAGTCAGATGAGGTGAATAAGGTGGATGAAAACGTATTGTAATGCTTTTATCAGCCTTCCTTCCTGTTGGATGCCAGTTGGCAGTGGCATTCGGCATATTGTTTATCACATTTCATAAAAACACTCGTGAAAGAAGTGGGAAAGGATGAAATGAAGAAAGGATTAAGACTGTAGGGTAAACTGTTTGGGGAACTATCAACTTTGTCAACAAATCTGGCTCAACTAAATCCAGAATCTGACCCCTTCTCACCAGCACATTGCTCTTACTTTGGGTCAAACCATCATCCTCCTTCACTGTTGCCATGACCTCCTCTCCATTCTCCTTGCTTCTGCCCTCACTTCTGCAGGAAGCGTTCAGTGTAGCAGCAGGGAAGCGTCTATAAAAATGTAGCTCAGGTCATGCTACTGTTCAGCTCCTATCTTGCTCAATAAAGCAAACATCTACAAGGCATTACCATCTGCTTTCCACTACCTCCCTGACCCCACCTCCTTCCACTTTCCCTTTTGCTTTCTCTATCTTTGCCATACTGCTCGTCTTGCTGGTTTTCCTCAAGGCCTCCTTTCATCATTGCCTTTTTTCCACAGGAATATTCTTCCCTCAAAGGCCACACTGCTTTTCTATTCCTACTCAAAAATCTCCTTTTTCAGGAGACCTTTCCTGGCCCACTTCTAGCATGTCATTCCCATCCTACTTTTGTATGATGTCTTCCACCTCTTACTCTTGGATTTTTTATCTGTCTCCTCCTCTACTGTATAAGCTCTATGATGGAAGGAATTTTTTTTGTTTTGTTCACCTCTAGAAACTCTAGTGCTTGGAGCATTTTTTTGATGACTAGTGAACATACTTAGTCCTGTATTCACTGGTCATTATATCTACCTTTTTGGATTACTTAGTTGTTATTCTTTATATTATTCTGTTATTCTTTTGTCATAAAATAGTCCAACTTTTATCATATACAGTGGTACCTAAGTTTATGAATGCTTTTGTTTGCAATAATTTGGTTTGCAAGCTGAAGGATTTGGCAAATTCCTTTTTTGTTTGCATCAGGTGACAAACGTGACCTTGGTCCTTTTTTTTGCTCAATCACGAACGTGACCATCTTTTCCAGAATTGTGGAACAAATTAAATTTGTGAACTGAAGTATCACTGTACTAAATATAATTTTTGTATATTCTTTTTCTTTTCTACCATTCTCTATATTCATGTTATCATCTTAATATTTTGAATTTTCTACTTTTTAATATCTAGTAAGCACTTACATTGTTTATCTAGTATTCTTTTCAAAATTATTTTTTTTTTTACTTATTTTTCCATGAGTTTTAAATTATGTCATATACCCCCAACTCTTTATACTTTTGGTTGACACTGTTAAATGTTGAGTTGATTTTGGAATAACCAGTGGGCAACAATTATTAATTCTTCCTATCCAGGAATATAGGCTAATTTTTAGTCCTTTTTGATCAGTGAGTTCAAAGTTTTAAAAAGTATGTCCTGTATAGATCCTATTAAATTTGTTCAAAAGTGTTACTTCCTAACTTTTCAAAATTTCTGAATTTTAGATAGCAATTGTATGTAATAAAAATAATTGTTTTATTTTGTTGATAAATGGGTTATGTTTTTATAATTCTATTAACACTTGAGTATAATATATTCTAATGACTTATAAAATCTATTATATATTTCTTCCTAGACCACACTTACTGCTTTGAAGGACGAAGTTGTTTCTGTTGAAAAGGAACTCTTAGAACTACAAGAAGTAGAAAAACGACAGAAAGGCCTTATTGAAATGTATAAAAATCAGGTGACCACTATGTATTTTAATGTTAAAATTGGTAGATAATTTAAGACATTGTATTTGTTTATGATCTAAATAAATAGAACTGGGAAAGGTGGACTATCATTTTGTGATATAATATACTATATCCCAAACATTTTTTATTTTTATTTTTTTGTAGTGCCAGGGATCAAAGCCAGGGCCTTGCACATGGTAAGCAAGTGCTTTACCACTGATCTACATCCCTAGCCCCCCAAATACATCTTAAGTTCCCAAATACCTTTATAAAAAAGTGATTCTGTGGATTCCTGATTCAAACCTTCCTGTGTAAATGGGAACTTCCTAACTAGATTTAGTATTAATTACATAGGTATAATGAAATTTTTAGGTGAAATCTTAGTGTAGAATCTTATAAATATTAGTTATACTTTCTGTCATCCTTTGTGCTTAGTTGTATTGATTTAGACTAATGACTCCCTCTAGGGTCATTAAATCCCAGTATATTTCCCTTCTCAAAAAAGTATAGTTCAGATTTACATGAAAAACCTACAAAGAAAACATGACAGCATATAAAATAGCACATGGGTTCAACGACAATTTATACAAAAGCTGCATGTTTTGGAAATGTAGTGTTCAAGAAAAATTTAATTTAAAAAAACGACTTATGCAGATATTCATATGATGAAAAACTAACTGGTCATTAAAGATCTTGATTTTATTGGAAGAGAGTTTGAATTAAAGAATAATGATGTGTTGGTGGTATAGATTGGTAGTAGAGCTATGCCTGGCATGCACAAGGCCCTGGGGTTCAATCCCCAGACTGCCAAAAATCAAAAAGGAATAATGAACTAAGGGTAAAAGCTTAAGGTGGGGGCAAAATCTAGGCAAATAGGAAAGGGGTATCTCTTGATGGATTGATAGCAAAATGGGATTGAGACATCCAATTAGATAATACCAGGTGAGAAGTAAGAATGGAGGCCTTGGAAGACTTTGGACCTGTTACTGAGAAGGTGATCGGAGTCTTTCACCTGATTGTTCAGGCATAATCCCATGGCAAGGATACGATAGCTGAGTTACCATATTCTAACTGCTGGGAATTATAGAAAGTACTCAGATGTTTTTGGAGAAGCTTTGGAAATGGTCGGAAAAATTACCAGAATGAGAGCTGTTTGGGATCAGAGACAAATTCTTTAAAGTGGATTTTGCCTGCAAGTGAAGATCTCCATAGTCCAGAGCTTAAGTGAAGAATCTAGAAGTATTGATGGCAGAAGACAGGTAAATCATTAAAGGATTATAGATAACAACATTCGAGTAGAGCATTGAGTGATTCTGTATTTAAAGAAAGAATAACATTAGATAAACATGATAGGGTATTGGTAGGGAAATATGATTTATTTAAAATAAAAATTTAAATTTTTAAACTTTTATTTCATGCTGTAGTCCTGATAATAAAATAATACACAGCACTAGCAGTATATTTTACTTTCAGGTACAAAAGTTGCAAGAAGCAGCTGAAATGGTGAAAACCAGATATGAAAATTTGCTACATGAAAATAACCTAATAACAGAAAACAAAAGTAAAAAATTAGAGATGGTAAGTTTGAAACTTCAAACAATAAAATAAATTTTCTTATTTTATAAATACTGTAAAATTCTTTCATTTTGGTCATTTTCTATGGTTCATGCCTAGGAATGGTCCATTCTCAATCTCTGTAGGAGTGTCCCCCCCGCCCCAGGAAATAATGTTTATTCCAGGCTTGAAATGTTGTTTGTGTGGATGCTTTTTCACTTTTTTCTTAATATTTGAGAAATGATATAACTGTTTAATTTTCTGACATAAGAACAGATTTAAGCTAAAACTACCTGATTGTCGCTACGGTTCATTAGCCGTAAAACAAACTAAATGCATCTTTTTTCTGGTTATAAATCTTTGGTGTTTAAAAAATTACAAAATAAATATTCTCTGCTACATGCATTTTTAGAAGAAAAATAATATCGTAAAAAAAGCCATCATTTCCTTTTATTCACCCCGATTAACAGAATGAAGGAAAGGCCAATACTGGCAAGTGATGATGTTTTTGTGAGTATTTCTAAGTTTTTAACTGAAACCACATCCCTTTTTGTAATGTCATGTTATGGTAAGGAAGCAGTAAAAGTTGTTGGAAGCTGACCCCTGGCTGGAGAGGTCATGGAATGTTAGTGGTCAGTTCCAGCTTTGTCTAGGAAGGTTATTATCACTGGGATGCTCCCATACTTTGGGATTGAAAAGTCTGAGTCAGGCATCACTGTGAAGGAGAGGTCAGAGCAGTCATACAGCCAGAGACTCAGAGGGACGCCCATCGAATGTGCAACAAATTGCTTCCTTAGGATTGGCTTTGACCTCATTTTAGTTTAGCAGACCAGAATAGACACCAGTTCACGTCTTCTGGTCTCCTTTTCTTCTAGGACATTTCAAGCACCTTTCCTCCTCTAGGCAGCACCATAAGAAGCCCATTACCTGCTCAAAAGGCAGGAAGGGTTCCAGCCTCTGTGAGGTCACAATTTTTACTTATTGGTCTATAACCAGAAAAGTAATTTTTAAATGAAATTCTACTTTTTCCTTTTCCATTGTTTAAGTCTACTGGTTTTCTCATGGGTTGTTAAACACCAAGGCATGCTTTCTCCTGGTTTTATATTTTATGATCAAGATTGGCAGACATTGCACAGAAACTGTAGGTGTTCCTTGTCTCAGGGAAAGAATCTCACTCTTGTTTTTTCTCCTTAGGAACATCATAAAAGTCACATGGCTTATTTCTTTTTTAATTAGCAACACAACTGTTTCTTAAGTTTGCTTCATGTCACAAAAGTGCCACAGTGAGGAACTACAGCAGGCAGGGGGATTAATATAGATAACATTAGAAAATTTATTCATCATAAAAATGATGAACTACTATCCAGTGAGAACTGATGATATTTGCTGTCTTGACAAAGTAAATAGTAAACTCCACCAATTTAGGCCAGCATGTATAGAGCAGAGTGGTTCCAATTTAGGTCAGTATCTGAGTTATAATATTAAGTGACAGAAGGTGATAGGTTAGAGCTGAGGCTTAGCAGTGAAAAACTAGTATACCAATTTTATTAATAATAACAGCTATGCCTGCATATAATAACAAACTTCAAAAAGTATGCTTTCCTAAGTAGGTTTAATACCGCCCCACAAGCTAAAGTTACCATATTTATTTGCTGAACAAACTTTTTGAAAACTAAGGGCCAACCCACTTTTTAGTTACTTGTTCTAATGTAGCAAAATCTAAATTAATATCCATTCGTATTTGATTAAATATTATTGTTTAATGTCCTTGAACCTAAAATACTTGTTATGTAACAAGCATATATAGTATTTAAGATAGTAAGAATATACATGCTGAATATGTGATTTTGCACTCATTTCCCCTAATGCCACAACTCAGATGAGAGGCCAGATGGAGTCTCATCTGCAGAAGGTAGAGCGAGATCGAGATTCCTTGACAGCGGTTGAACAGAAGCTTCGGGAGAGTCAGGAGAGCTTGCAGCGCTGCAAGGCCAAGTGTGCAGAGCAGACCCACACCGTTAGGGAGCTGCAGGGCCAGGTGTGCAGCGGTCACTCTTGAGTTCTGCCCGATGTGTTGAAAGAATGCCTGGAATGACTTCACCAGTTGAGGATGCTCACATCAGGGGTTAATGCTTTGGTTTGCATCTGCATCAGTTGATATAGTATCATTTCCATGCAGATAGTGTAATAGCATTTTGCAGGCTACTCTTGCAGTATTTGACGGTGACAAATTAGAAGTTAAAATGGCTCTTTTAGGTTATCCTTGCTGATCTATATTTAGACACCAGCGGGTTGGTAACAGCATTAGAGAAGGAGCAAAGCTATGGTTACATGTTTTTTGATGTCAGGATGAGGTGAATTATTGTAATTTACCTTATAACCATCAGGATGTATTTTAAGTAGAATTGTGCATCGAGTCTATTAGGATTATTTTCAAACCATTTTTTCAGGATATACTTTTCTAACCCATCAGAATAGAGATCAGTTATGTCCTATTAATCATCACATAGCCTTCTCCTACCTCAATGCCTAGCACATAGGAAGCACTTAATAAATATGTTTGAATTAATTTTTTTCTCAAAGGATAGTAGCAAGTATTTTTCTATTCATTTTCTGTCTTCCAAATATAATCTGCATTTTTATTTTGAAGTGCATCTTGTTTTTAAAAACATGCAGGCAACCTTTTGATTAATTTCCTGAGCAGAGATTTTTCTAGAAAAATGTCAAATTACATACATTTAACTTAAATTACTAGTTGAACTTATAAGAAAAGAATTATTATTATTATTATTATTACTACAAGTTTCTTTAGCTATTTACATCTGCTTTTGAAGCAATAGGAAGAATATTCTGTCTTGGCATGGGCAAGTGTCTTTAGTTGATTAATTTTATTTTGCTTCTTACAAGAATATGGTTTTACTTATAGTTACGTCACAGATATACAATAACAATCAGTGTTTTTAAGTGAAAGAAAATTCTAAGAAACCCTAAATATTCAATAATAGGTTAATATTTTGCATTTTTCATGTTTTAACTTAATAAAATAACCTTTTTCAATAAAGAATTGCTTGGAATATTTTAATTGCCATTACCCAGAAATAAATTTGTTTATTTTTCCAATGTAGACAGTATAGTTTTAAAAAATCTTAACCAAGGATTTAAGAAACTATATTTTAACAATGTAACATTTCTTTGTGTCTGTGTATAAGTAATATTTACATATT